TTTGCTTAATATTGTTGATTTTATGGAGGCAATTGCTTTTTAAAAATTATAACAATAAAGAAAATGAAAAATGTAAAAATTCTTGAGTATCTCTTCATTGATGTACATGTATATGTACAGTTGTCATAGCAACCGTCATTTTCCTCAGCAACGCTACCGATCTAGTTGTTAGAGTAATTCTTCTATAGAAAGTAGAAGGAGGAAGAGAGAGAGGATCAAGAGAGAAAGAATGGAATGACATCATGAGAAGTAACATGACTTACCCTCTTTGATGAAACGGAGCATACATTGGGTACCCCATAAGAACAGTAACAGTATACCATAACCTAATGATAACAATAAACAATGTATCATGTAATAAGTAAAAGAAAATGTACGTAGACATGTACATGTACAGTACATGGATGCACATAGCCTTTGCTTTTTCAAATTTGGCTCAGTTTTATAAATTCTTGAATTCTTATAACTCGAAAATTATCAGCTCAAATTTTCTACATAGCATAAAGGCATCAATATGTATCAGAAAATGTAATAAAAATTGGGGGTAATTTTGGAGCCATTTTTTAGAAAAAAGCATAGGCTATAATAGCCTTGGGTAATAATTTTCAAAAATTGGCCTATTTCTAAAAATGCTCATAACTCGAAAATTATTTGTCAGAAACAGTTCAAATTTTCTACACAGCATAAGGATATCAATATGTATCAGGAAATGTAATAAAAATTGGGGGTGATTTCGGAGCCATTTTTTACAAAAAAGCATGGGCTATAGCCTTGGGTAATTTTCAAAAATTGGCCTATTTCTAAAAATGCTCATAACTAAAAAATTATTTGTCGGAAACTGTTCAAATTTTCTACACAGCATCAGGACATCAATATGTATCAGGAAATGTAATAAAAATTGGGGGTGATTTCGGAGCCATTTTTTACAAAAAAGCATGGGCTCTAGCCTTGGGTATTTTTCAAAAATTGGCCTATTTCTAAAAATGCTCATAACTCAAAAAATATTAGTCAAAAACAGCTCAAATTATTAACAAAAATAACAAAATTAACAAAAATATTAGGTCACAATCATAAATTTAACCTATTTATAAAAGACACATTAATATTCTTACTCAGGAGGTAGCATAGCTTTCATCATCACAACTTCCTTTCTCACCACACCTCCCCTCACTCCACCCACTCCTCATCCTTACCTACACAACATCACATGACTATCATCAAAAGTCACATGATCTCTCACTTGTATGGTGACGAGGGGATCTTGAGGGACGAGGGAGAGGTTGGCCGTCACATGTGGTCTCCTGGTTCTTCAATACAAGAGATACCAGAGGACCAATACTGTTTTCCGGAGGATGTCAGGTCTCATTCATTTAATTAAGAGGAGGACATCAAAGAGAAAATAATGAAGAGACTCAAACTTTCCTTACATATAGGAGAGACTATAATAGAAAGAGAGGGAGGGAGAGATATACATAGAGAAAGGAAAGAAGGAAAGGAATAGAATGAGGAGGAGGAGGGAAAAGGAGGGAAGAAAAATAGAAAGAAGAAAGGGAAGAAAGAAATCAAACAAGTAAAGAAATGAAAAAATGGAGAAAAAAATACATATGTACCTGGTGATAGGAAATGTTTCCTGTTTTTCTATCACTTTTCCTTATAATTGTGTGTGCCACTCCTTAGGTACAGTTTTCATGGATTAGTAAAGTGTATGAATCAAGTTAGCAAATTAATAAGTTAACTACAATGAAGCAGCTAAAAGCTAGAAAAACAAAAAACATGCAGTACATGTACATGTATCATTAACTGAAAATGACTACAAATACACATGTACATGTACATGTATCAATTAATGGACAATGTTATGAAGACAAATTGAGGTAATACTGTCCATGCAGTATAGCTAATAGGAGAAGCACATGAAATAAAAGCTGAGATCCCTCCCTCTCTCCTCTCTCTCTCTGATGTCCTTATGAGCCAAAAAGCAAAACTAAAACGATTTTTGTCAATTTATAAATTTAAAACCCGATAGATAAGTGCATGTATGCATGGAGAGCAAGAGTAGATGATAGTTAGAGAGAGTGTCGAACTGCACTATTCTAGCTGAAATATGACTGTGTAGAACTTTCTTGCACATCTTTGGGTATTCCTGCATACTGGGTGTGGCTGAGAAGAATAAAATGGCTGCCTAGTTTGCTCAGCAAGGTTTACTGGCCGTTTTGGAGTCTCTGCTGTAGCTGTACTGCATAACAGGCTTCAGCAGGATTATAAAGTGTACTAGTATGATGTCTACAGCTTCTTCAAGTGTTCTCCACTGTTCCTTATGCAAACTTCTACACGTGCTTTTAGTAGGTACACCCACGCTTCAGGTCTCACGTGACTTAGTTCTACGCGGTCATATTCCAGCTAGCGTAGTGCAGTTCGACACTCTCTCTAACTATCATCTACTCTTGATGGAGAGAGATATACATGTACATATGGTAGAGAGTGGATACAATATTTACTTTGCAAATATTTTAGATAGTTTATCCAGTTTGATCACATTATTAGGTAGACATGTTAACTCATTGTACTGGACCTATAATAACAATAACACACAACATGTAAACATAATTATGAGTCTTTATACAAAGATAAACAACAAACTAAACTATAAACAAATCTACAACATTCGGCAAGGAAGTTGTCTCAAAGCATGCAGTATACCATGCTATTACAATTTAATCCATACATACATGTACACTAAACATGTATTATAATGATATTAAAAATCTTATATTTTCATTCTCACCTCAAGTGCTGACAATCAATTAAAGTTTTCAATATCTTCAGATATTTCTTTGATTTCATTAGATGATGGATCCAGTCTAGTCAGTTCGACCTGGTCCTACCATCTCTCATCAACATCAAATGAAGCAGTACTACCATCAGGAGGATCAATATTGAGTCTCCACAGTTTAGGAGGAAACACTAATGCCCCTGTAATTATAAACATTCACCCACTAACTTTCATACATCCACATGTTCATTAATGTGTCATAACAATAAAAACCAAAAAATCATTTCATTTTTGGTGAATTAAAAAACATGTTACAAGTCTCACACAGCCTGGCTCCTACCTGTTTCACAGGTTCAGCCGGTGAACCTGTTTTACGAGCTTGTTTCAATAAGGATTCTGGTACAGTCCCCTCCTTACCTACCCCATCACTTTGACTAGGACAATTGAAGAAGTTGGGACTGATTTGGTTTGAGTCTAGTAGAACCAGCAGGAGATTTTCTACTGGCATCACGACTGGAACTCATTTTATGAATTTTGGATAAAAGGGTGTGGTCCTATGTTGCATAGTTTGGGTGGGGCTGGTATTTTTGCAAGGATGGCATCTAAAAGTGAGGGCCATTATTCTCTTCTCTTTGTATCTCTTTCATTCATTCTTTGTCTCTCTTACTCTCTCACTTACTTTACTCCTCTGTATCCTGTCTTTATTCTAACTCATCACTATATTACTGTTACTCTGTTACTGGTACCTCTTGTTCTGTCACGGCGTCTTCTCTATGGATTCGGGGATGCCGTCCAGCCCGTCTATATAGTTGCTTCCTTAGTAGTCAGCTCAGCTCAGGATTCACTAGTTAGCTCGCCAATGCCGGGCTCGCTATCAATTTCACAAAATATATACTTCAACAGAATCTCTTTTCAAATAATATACCAGCTTTACTGGTTCAAACAATAATATCAAATAAAGATAGATAGTGCCACACTATCTCCCAACAACTCAATAACACTCAGACTACACTCACACACTTCCACACACTTCACACACACACACACACTGCACTGCCTTAATGGCTCACAAAAATTACTCTCTTATATACAAAATACATCCATGAATAATAATGAACTAATAATTAATAATAACTGACAATCAATAAGCACAATGAATATAAATCACACATAAATCCTCACAGTTCTCTATGGACTATCAACCAGTGAAGAGATATGGACACTCCACAGTAAAGGTAGGAGACTACCTATATATGTGGGGTGGGGGTGGGTCTGGAGTAGACTATGATGTGATGGAGGTGTATCACTTACCAACTGGTGCTTGGGACCAGAAACCTACTACTGGCACCCCACCACCAGGTACCAGGGGCTACTCAATCATGGCTATTGGGAAGGACATATATTATTTCGGTGGACGTGGTGTTCGTGATTATCAAAACAGCTTACATTGTTTTAATGTGGATTCATTGAAGTGGAGAGAACTCTCTCCTTCTAGTTCTGATCATGGTCCTATGAAGAAGGCCTACTGTGGAATGGTGTCAGTTCATTTTGACAGTGAACACTATCTCGTAATAATCGGAGGACTTGGATCATCTTCTACTCCAAAGCAACCTAACGCTCAGTATAATAATTATTATGATGATTTGAGATGTAATGAGATACATTATTACAGGATTTCATCAGGTCAGTAATTCTCATCATCGATACACAATAGTTGATGAGTATTTCAAACTGAATAATTTATATTAATGTACATAAAACAGATTGTTAATAATTAAGTGTGTTTGTTAGTGTGTCTCTGTGTGTCATGTGTTTGTGTGTGATGGTGACGTGTGTCTATATGTGACGTGTGTGTACTAATGCATACATTATGATGTGTCTGTGTATGATAGTGCATATAATGTGTGTGAGAATTTATGAATGTATGACGTGTGTATGTGACGTGTATCTATAATGTGCATGTTATGTGTGTGTGAGTATTATCATGTATCTGTGTGTGTGTGATGTTTGTATATGTACATGTATCTATACATAAGCTAATGTGACATGAGTGTGTGTGTGTGTGTGTGTGTATCATGTGATAGTGATGTGTGTCTATGCATGATGTGTATGTATAAATAATAATGTACACACATATACACATACATATGTATGATGAATGTGTATAATGTAAGTGTGTGCATGTGGTAAGTAAATGTACATGAATGTTTGTACATTATTATTAGATCAATGGATATCTCCTGTTGTTACTGGAGACAGACCACCTCCTATTGAGGACTTCACTCTAACACCAGTTGCTAATAACACTGCGGTAATCTTCGGAGGCTATACTGATAATGGAGTCAGTAATAAACTGTATATGATAAGTTTCACTAAGACATTAATGGTGAGTTAATACTGTAGGATGGGTAATTTTGATTACGAGATTAATTTGATCACAAATTGTGGATTTACAAGTAAAATTTAATTTATTATTCTCTCAGGATATATTATTCTCTCAGGATATATTAGAAGTACCTAATCCTGGAGGATCAGTACAATGGCCTGAGGGAAGATATGGTCATTCCAGTGTACTGATTACCACTAGTTCAGGACCATACTTACTAGTGGTGGGTGGATACCTTGCCTATGATGTATGGTTACTGGACATTAACAAAAGAAAATGGGAAGAACTGGTAAGTATTATATTATGATGCTTGATAATGAAACATAAAGTGATTAACTAAATTTGTAACTTATGAGGTTTGTAATGTACATGTACATATTATGATACTCAGTGAAAACTACTGATGAATAATGCTGGTATTCAGTGTGTGTGTCTGTCTGTTTTTAGTGTGAATGTGTGTTTGTGTCTTTTTGTGTTTTGTGTTTGTTTCTTTACCTAAGTATGTGTGAATATACATGTGTCTGTGTGTGTGTGTGTAAAGATGGATTGACAATTGATAGAGTGTCAATGCTGGAATTAAAATAAATTGTATTTTATGTACATTATGTACATTGTGTATGTACATACATGTATTTGTGTGTATGTGTGCATATGTTTTAATATGTGTATGTGTGTACTAACACGTACATCATGTGTACATGTAACATGTACATGTGTGTGTTACAGTATGTGTGTGAGCAATTATGCATGCTTTACATGTAGCTTTATATGTGTATGCATGTATAGATGTACATGTATGTGTGTTAGTGTGTCATTAGTATGTGTATGTGTATGTGAGTACATTCAGACACTTAGTATGTTCTTAATTGAGGACTCACATGATATAATAACAAACTCAGTTGTGTATACTTGTCTATTAATATATTGTATATTATTAATTTTATTATGTGATCTTTGTGTTACATAAAACACACTGTGCAGACTATAAAACTGTGAGTTAGTTATTGTGTTTATTAACCAGATATCAAATCAATTAATATGTCATACACAAATTAATTATTATCATTTAAATTTTATAGACTAATCTACCAGACAATGTCACTAGGAGATTTAGGCATTCTCTTTCAATGTGGAGTGTGACCCCAACTACTAACTGGATAATTGAGTTTGGAGGAGGTACATCATACAGTGATACAGCAGTTATTGAACTCAGTAAGTACATGTAGACAGTAGTAGATACAATGTGTATTGAATATGTAATGATAATTAGTAATGATAATATTACAATAAAGTAAGTAATTCTTATGATGAATATTCAATGAGAGCATTTGACGTATACCTATGATACTAATTATTACCAATTCATTCCTGCTATGTACAATAGTGAAATATAATGACTGCAGATACAGAAACACTGATATTAATAGGAGCTAGAGTGAATGAAATATTATTATCAGTGTATTTATATACAATAATATGTTCATGTGGTTAACTGTGTAAACTGACAGAGGTCACACATACAATGATTAAACATGAATCCATCAATAATAAGGTTACCATAGTAACCAACTGTAATTAATTTGTGTATTTCTTATTCTCCACTATCTTGTTACTGTATAGGATATACTAGTGATAATGATTGGTCTACTAGTGTAATACCTCTGGACCAGTATCAAGATCAACTAAGAAGAAGGATACTGAGTGATTGGGAGAATTTAGGAACAGAAAAACAGCTTAAAATATTTCAAGATTGTCTGCAATTACAAAAAGAGAGAGAATTCTATGAGGAACAGCTTCAAAGAGAAATAAAAGAGAAGGAGCAGATACAGCAAGATCGAGACAAAGAGCAGCAACAGCTTCTTCAAGAAAAGGCAACACTTAGTCAGCAACTTGATGATGCCACCACTCTCCTTGAGCAAGCGGCAGGAAAGGATAAATCAACTGTTGAATTAGGTACTATTGTGTTATACTGTTGTTTATGTGTACATTGTTTACATTATAATACTAGTGGATTAGACAATGTTGAGTATGGAAATAGTATCCTGTACTCAATATAGGTCAAATTGTCGATGCATTAGAAATAATGAGATTGATGTAGAGTGAGCTCTTCTTACCATATATGGTATCATTAGCAATAACCATAGTACATGTATTTATGGACTACTGTACATGCAGTGCAAATTAGTTTCAAGCAATTTATATCATATAATTTTCTATCTTTGTGTTTTTATTGATAATAGAATATTATGAGAAGCTCAAAGTTAAGGATGCTGAAATATTGGAAGAAAAGACACAAGTAGAGGAGAAGAAACAGATTATTACTGGTTAGTGTATCATCAGTACATAATATTAGATGAGAGAATGTTCTGTTAATGTAGAAGATTATGAGAAACAGGAACAATATCTCAAGGAGAAACAGATCATTATTGGTTAGTTAACTATACACACAGCATGTATCAGATGAGAGAATATGTTTATTGTGTAGACAACAATCAAAATCTCATTTCTGAGAAAGACAAAGTCTGACATCACAAGTAGAGGAACAATCACAGAATGAGAAACAGATCATTACTGGTTAGTGTATCATCATCAATCAATGATAATTATTAATATTCTATTAATTTATAGACCTTAAAGAAAAGGAGTTGTACATAGCCAAACTAGTGAAGGAAAGACAAGAGAGGGTCCTCAAGCAACCTATCAAAGAGACTAGTTCCATTGGACTACAATTTAACTACCTGATCCCTTCAATGGGTAAATAATTCATGTATACATGTACACATGTAAATGATATGTGTACTATACTTGTATTAGATATGATGTGTGTGTATTGTTTCAGATTCACTAGACTCTAGTGTCATTATAGCTGGACAGAAGCTCTTTATCCTACAAGGAGACAGGTCTGACTCACTCCAGTGGGAGAAATATGGATTCAGATTAGAATGTCCTCAAGGAGCAGTGTCCAAGGATACTGAAGTAGCTGTTACTGCACTAGCTGGTGGCAATTTCAAGGTACCCAAAGGTACTGTGCTAGTGAGTGCAGTATATGCAATATCAGTATCTAAGGGACTATTAAAACCACTGGTAATAGAGCTACAACATTGTGTGGATCTAAGGAACACTAGTCAGACTGGTTGCCTCAAGTTTGTGAGAGCTCCACTGAAGTCTCCTTACCAGTTCAGTATAGTTGAAGGAGGATCTTTTAGAGTTGGGAAAAGATACGGATCAATAAAGCGTGAGCAGTTCAGTTGTATGGGTATTGTAGCTGAGATGAGTAATGGAGACACATAGTGACAGTGAGAGTGAGGAAGGTTATGAGACACCACCTGAAGGTACATGTATGATGGAAATAGTGTTTTATTATTAATAATGTACAATAATAGGATCAACTGATGACACACATAATGATAGTGGTAATGGAGCAGGAGAGACTAGTGAGAGAACTGTCTCACCAATAAATACTAGACTATCTCAACGTATGTGTGACTGTAATTGTGTTGCATAAAGTTTTATTTTCATAACAGAATCAGTAACTGATGACTCTAATCAAAAAAATACAGAAAGTTGAGTCTAC